ACAGAAATACAGTGCGTAAGCAGTAATCGAATACGATGTCGTTTCATACTGTAGTGAATTGTAATAAAATGCACCGTATAAGCCGTCGTTTTTCAGTCTAAAATGATCTATATGCAACCGTATACAGCCATTCAGGTGTCATATTGTTTGATCAGGGTAGTTTATAATTGTAGAATGAAACGTTTACTATGTCGACTAATTTGGACATGTATACAACAGAGAAGTAATATTATGTGATTTCAAAGACCTTTATAAAGTCTAATTTACATTTAAATAGGAATACTACTATTCAAATGATAGAATTATCCACTACAGCCAATTTTGAAGAAGCTACGACAACTAATCGGCAGTCTTCCATTACGACGCCTATGATTTCAACTACTACCGACAGCTTCAATACTCTCGGTAGTTTCTCTACTCAGAGTGATTCGTCTATTCAGAGTGATTCTTCTGCTCAGAATGATTCGTCTACTCAGAGTGATTCGTCTACTCAGAGTAGTTCATCTATTCTGAGCAGTTCGTCTATTGCCAGTAGTTCGTCTACGGCTAGTACTTCGCCTACAGCTAGTAGTTCGTTTACGCAGAGTAGTTTGCCTATTCTGAGTAGTTCGTCTACTAAGAGTAGTTCGTATACTACTAGTAGTTCGTCTACTGCCAGTGGTTCATCTACTCAGAGTAGTTTGTCTACTCTTAGCAGCTTCTCTACTCTGAGCAGTTCCACGACCACCGATGATTCGATAACAACAACTACTGCCACATCATACACTAACTCTCACTCGACAAATTCTACAAGTAAAACTTTGATTACAACTTGTTCAAGCACAATATCAAAAAATACGACTCCTTTAAGTAAAACGGTACTTAAAACATTGTTTGACTAATCCATGAATATTCCGTAATCGATATTAAGCGTTCTAAAAGAGAAGCTAAGGATCGACCAACTTGCAGTTGAAAAGATAGATCAAATAAGGGAAAGAATTATTTGAATCGATCAATTTCTATCGAAGTTCTGTTCAAAATACTCTTCAGATCCGAATTAGAACTGAAGTTGTCGATATCTGATAGCAAAAAATACTATACAACTTGAAATTGAAATTTCCTACAAAATATAATCATTCAGTAATGAATTTCTTTATTTGACACAAGGAATTTGAATACCATGATGTTTCAACAGAAATCTTTTTATACTTGTCTAGATGTCAAGATTGAGAAACTAGTACTTTAAATATTTATCTAATTCTATTTTTCAAACAGACTACTAAATGATAATTCCTAATTTAGATGAAAACTACTACGAGTAGTCCTACAACAATATCATCCAACATTTTAACCATAAAACCAATATGTAAGACAATTGTTTTATTAATAATATTTTCATAAATATGTTTACCCAATCTATTTTAGCCAAGAATTGGATTCTACCGCTTGGTTTATCATTGGGTTTGGGTATTCCAGTAGTAACTGCAATCATTGTCATTGCAGTATATGTGGTGAAGTTTGTGCTTTAATGAATAAAAAGACAAGAGACTCGTTCCATTTGATGGTGCTGACGAGAACCAAATAAACATCCATTTGCTTTTTTTTTTTGAAAATGTTTTCTTTTGTACTCTCCAAGACTTTCCTGGTTCTAAGAGATTTTCTGTCAATTGATAACTGCTTTTAGCGTTTGAATTTTATCCAAACTGTTTTATGCTTAGCGGAATTTGTAGCGTCAAAAACGTGAACAATAGTTAATTACAATACAATGAATATTGGTAAAGTAGTAATGTGTAACTTTGAATATTGGAATTTGATTATTAACTAAAGAAAAAAAACAATTATTCATGTAATCATTAGTATTTCGACTGAAGATTGACGTGAACTCAATTGAAGCACATAATCTTTCTTTAAAACGCCTATTTTAGGAGAGCTAGACAAGTATCAGACATATATAATCGATACAACTCGAGATTAATTATCTTATCTTTTTTTTTTTTCATAGAAGAATTTTTCTCATGAGATATATTATTTCTTAGTTGATGAAAATAGAAAAGAAATTTTCATAAAACCATGCATGTATCTAAGAATGATGAAAAAAATATTCTAAACTAAAACTAAAACCGTAAGTTTTTCGAGATATTTTAATAATGTGGGTTACTTTGAAAGCGTCTTGAAATCAACTATAAGTAGACACAATTAATATCAAACGATCGTTCACAATAACCTTTCGTAAGGAAAGATTCCTTGGTCTAACTTATCTGGATAAGTTTTGAATATAAAAGCGTTTTTCATCAAACCGAAACGATCTTGAAGATTTCGAAAGATATGTTGAAGAGTTTAAAAATTCAGAAATAATACTGACCACGTATTAGTAAAGGAAAAACTTATAATTGAAATATTTCCATATGATTAATCCTTGTAAGTTTCTATGCAACACAAGATTTTCATGAACTTTTTTATTCGCGTGGTCAATGTCATACAAAATCTCAATAATGTGCAATTTGAATTTTATCATTAATAAACAAATATATTATATATATACATTGTCTTTGATATTTCTTAGAACATTTATTCATCATTGAAGTGTATGCGCGGTATGAACATATAAAATGCAATAGAGCTATTTTGATTTTAGACACAAAGGTTTCATTGATATTCTTGATATTTAACATTCCATTCGAGTTGAGTCCTCGTAGAAAATTTGTTTCGTAGAGAAAATTTATTTGAACTATAAGTAGCCTTTATCTTCTTCTGAAAGATATGAATAATCTCGAATAGGATTTTCGGCATTGAGCACAGTCTGATAGATTTAAAATGTATTTTACATTATTGTTTGAAAAATGTTTAAAACCAAACAAAACTTTCAAATAATCGTGACGTATCTAAACTCAAATAAAATCCATTTAATTCTATTTTGTATTCATGAGATCAACAAACTATAACCTTTCTGTTCCCTTTGTATACTGGTCTTATCCGTCCAGTAAATATATTCAATGATCTTAGGAGTCATTCATGTAGAACATCGAAACACCTACTAAGAAGATTGTTCTTTGATTTTACACAAATTTCGCCAAAATTTTGTAAGATTCGTTTGTTTTAACAAGCATATTTAGATAGAAAATGAATAAGCTAAATATGAATATTAGTGTTGAAATAATTCACGATTCTTTTTGTAGAGCTGTTATGTCAGATTTTCTAATTTCAAGGGTATTAAACTTCATTTCTTGTTTTTTTAACTATTTTTCGGTCATTTAAATCGAATGAATTATGAAAATAAAAACTTTGTAACAGATTAGATTGTTATTTCTTGCTTATGAAATATGTGGGGTGTGGCGTGTGGGTGTTAGTATCTATTCATGAACAGCTTCACCCACAACCACACCCACACCCCACACCCACCAACACCCATACCCCACTCACACCCACATCCCACCCACTCCCACCAACACCCACACCCCACCCACACATCCCACCCACACCCACCCACACCCACACACACCTACACCCACGCCCACCCACATCCACACCCACACCCCACACCCCACACCCCCACACTCACACCCACCATTTTAGAGTGTAGTGGACTCTTTCCTAGGCTATTTTAGAGGTTTTCCCCAAATCACAGGCTTTTGATCGAAAATCCAGTTTTAAGCATTCATATTACACTTTAAAGAAAATTAAGGTGATATTCGGAATCAGCGCATTAAACTGCATCGAATGATATATAGCTCAACAATTTTTCAAAAAAAAAACATTTTTTGAAAAAAGTAGGCTGGGGTCCCACCCAACCATATTTTTTCGAAAAATTTTTTTTTCTTGGAGAACACTTTTATTTTCTTAAAAACGATTTCCTGAGTGGTATACTGTCATTTCTAGTCAAATGAAAGCCATTTCTGAGCAAAAAAACCGCATGTCAGCCTGCTTATGCTAAAGCTCCCCACCGTGCATGAGGTTGCCTTCATTGTACTCAGTTTCTTTCGGCAAATACATAAGTGTAAATTGAAACATAATGTTACAGAGTAATAGAAAACTTCACAGGCTTTCAGAATATATAATTGGTTTTTTAAAAAATATGCTTTTCTGCTGATAATATATTTGAAATATGGACGGAAACTATTTTTTTCCGAGGATGGGTGAGTGTGGGTGTGAAGAGAATTAACACTCACAGCCCCTACCCACACGTCACACTAGCACATCACACCCACACCCTGGCTGGCGAGCAAGTATCCTACGAGCATATGTCCAGCGGGCAACTGCGTAGATTCTATGAAACCATAGTGAAGGGAAACTGCTGAGGTAATCTAAGCTAAAAATTTTGCTGATCTAAGTTATAACATGATTCTCACAATGTCAGAATTAAAACATAAATGATTGAAACAAAAAAGGGATTAAAAAATCAATTGAGCACGTATATAGAAAATACTTTGAAAATACAAGTCATCAATTGCAAGTAGTGACCGTGAAACGATATTATGAAATTTAGAAGATGTACAAATAACTGAATATCAGAGCCGTACAGAAGAAAACTTTCAGATTTAAAGGATTTCCTAGCGATGAATATGGTGCAGCATTTCTCATTGTTCGTCGAGAAAACAACAAACTAACGCTTATTTATTCTTGTTTTTTTTGTTGTATCTATGCTTATTCCTGCTTCTTTGACATGAAATAATTACATATTAAAAAGTTGAAGAGTATATTTGTGAAACAGCACAAAGAAAGCGAACAAGCTCGACTATTAGTTGAGCTTGACGAATTTCTCTTCAGTAACACGGACTTTTATAATGGCAAGAAGTTTTCAAAATTATTGTCCAGTAGATTTGTCAGTTGCCCATTGCTGTCTATCTCTTAAAACAGTTTGACTAGAACATTGCCAACTATTCAAAGATTTCTAGATACGCCACTGTTTAAGGAAATAAAAAAGTGATGTATATTTCGAGAGATATTTCATCGATAATTAGAAAATGTTTTTTGTATTAATAATAGATTTATTCATTGTCATTAAGTTACAATTGTTTTATAAGTTAATGAGAAAATTCACGACGTTGTTTTTGTTGTTCTTCATTGCTGTTGCTATTATCATTATCAATAAATTGACGTAAGCTCTTTTGATGAGATTGTTCTTTTCGTTGTACATTGATTTTTTTCTCGTCACGTTTTTTGCTTATATTAGCACAGATATTTTGACAAGCTTTAGCTGCATCTTTAATTGACATACCTTGACCTGATTTTGGATTACGTAGTTTATCAACACATTCGATTTCACATTTAAGATCTGGTTTAATTATATTATAACCACCTTGTCGTTTATTTATTGCACGTTCATATTGATCAGAATCGTCTTCTTGATTATCTTCATCTAAGATATTAATCTATTAAAGGATGATCAATGAAAGTTTTTATACTAACCTAATGTAATAGATCGTTCCATTTGTTGATTATCAAGATGATTTAAAATCGAACGGAGTTCTAATTGTAAATCATTGTCACTTTCTTCATCATCTGTTGCAACTTCACGTACTGATGGATAATTGGCAACACGAGCAATTAATAGAAAAAACACTAAATAAATCAAAAGTGAATAAATGTAAATGAGTGTTTGATAAGAATTTGTACAAAAAATTACCTGCGAATGCGATATACATTCTATATAAATTAGAAGTAAACTAAAGCAATAGAAGTTTGAGTGTTGTATTGATACTTTTCGTCGCCTTTTATAGTCTTCTCTTGTCAAAAAAAATTATTCATATCGACTTTTTCTTTCTTTATCGTTCTGTTCTGAATTATTTTTTTTTCTTATTTTCTCTCTAATAACAATATTCGACAAAAAAAAAGCATTGAAAGAATCATTTAATCAGAATTGCTATATAAAGTTGTGTACGTATTTTTTCTCTCGATATTAATGAAGGTAAATAAAAAAATCCAAATCTATGTGTGCGAATATTCAGTTTTATTACTTTTATTGATATGAAAATATGTATGACAGAGCGGGTAATGATAGGTAAATATATACACACACGAATATTATTCACCTAACCTCCAATGTAAAAGTATCCGTACAACTGTCTGAGGCTATTGCGCAGCGAGGGTGAATCATAGAAATTGGCTTAACATGTCTTCTGATAGAGTGAAATGAGTTCTTTTGAATGATGTATGACTTATTCATT